GAGTGTGTGTGTGAGTGTGAGTGTGTGTGTGTGAGTGTGTGTGTGTGTGAGTGTGTGTGTGTGTGTGAGTGTGTGTGTGTGTGAGTGTGTGTGTGTGTGTGTGTGTGAGTGTGTGTGTGTGTGAGTGTGTGTGTGAGTGTGTGTGTGTGTGAGTGTGTGTGTGAGTGTGTGTGTGAGTGTGTGTGTATGTGTGAGTGTGTGTGTGTGTGAGTGTGTGTGTGTGTGTATGTGAGTGTGTGTGTGTGTGTGAGTGTGTGTGTGTGAGTGTGTGTGTGAGTGTGTGTGTGTGTGAGTGTGTGTGTGAGTGTGTGTGTGTGTGTGTGTGTGAGTGTGTGTGTGTGTGAGTGTGTGTGAGTGTGAGTGTGTGTGTGAGTGTGTGTGAGTGTGAGTGTGTGAGTGTGTGTGTGAGAGTGTGTGTTTGTGTGTGAGTGTGTGTGTATGTGAGTGTGAGTGTGTATGTGTGTGTGAGTGTGTATGTGTGTGAGTGTGAGTGTGTGTGTGTGTGAGTGTGTGTGTGAGTGTGTGTGTGTGAGTGTGTGTGTGTGTGAGTGTGTGTGTGAGTGTGTGTGTGTGTGAGTGTGTGTGTGAGTGTGTGTGTGAGTGTGTGTGTATGTGTGAGTGTGTGTGTGTGTGAGTGTGTGTGTGTGTGTATGTGAGTGTGTGTGTGTGTGTGTGTGAGTGTGTGTGTGTGTGAGTGTGTGTGTGAGTGTGTGTGTGTGTGAGTGTGTGTGTGAGTGTGTGTGTGTGTGTGTGTGAGTGTGTGTGTGTGTGAGTGTGTGTGAGTGTGAGTGTGAGTGTGTGTGTGTGTGTGAGTGTGTGTGAGAGTGTGTGTGTATGTGTGAGTGTGTGTGTGTGAGTGTGTGTGTGTGTGAGTGTGAGTGTGTGTGTGTGTGTGAGTGTGTGTGTGAGTGTGTGTGTGTGAGTGTGTGTGTGTGAGTGTGTGTGTGAGAGTGTGTGTGAGTGTGTGAGTGTGTGTGTGTATGTGTGTGAGTGTGAGTGTGTGTGTGTGAGTGTGTGTGTGTGTGAGTGTGTGTGTGTGTGTGTGAGTGTGTGTGAGTGTGAGTGTGTGTGTGAGTGTGTGTGAGTGTGAGTGTGTGAGTGTGTGTGTGAGAGTGTGTGTTTGTGTGTGAGTGTGTGTGTATGTGAGTGTGAGTGTGTATGTGTGTGTGAGTGTGTATGTGTGTGAGTGTGAGTGTGTGTGTGTGTGTGAGTGTGTGTGTGAGTGTGAGTGTGTGTGTGTGAGTGTGTGTGTGAGAGTGTGTGTGAGTGTGTGAGTGTGTGTGTGTATGTGTGTGAGTGTGAGTGTGTGTGTGTGAGTGTGTGTGTGTGTGAGTGTGTGTGAGTGTGAGTGTGTGTGTGAGTGTGTGTGAGTGTGAGTGTGTGAGTGTGTGTGAGTGTGTGTGTATGTGAGTGTGAGTGTGAGTGTGTGTGTGTGTGAGTGTGTGTGTGAGTGTGTGTGTGAGTGTGTGTGTGTGAGTGTGTGTGTGAGAGTGTGTGTGAGTGTGTGAGTGTGTGTGTGTATGTGTGTGAGTGTGAGTGTGTGTGTGTGTGAGTGTGTGTGTGTGTGAGTGTGTGTGTGTGTGTGTGTGAGTGTGTGTGAGTGTGAGTGTGTGTGTGAGTGTGTGTGAGTGTGAGTGTGTGAGTGTGTGTGAGTGTGAGTGTGTGTGTGAGTGTGTGTGTGAGTGTGTGTGTGTGTTAGTGTGTGTATGTGAGTGTGTGTGTGTGTGTGTGTGTGCATGTGGGGGGGCTCGTATCTGGTACATCAAGTCCAGTCTGGCCCCGGGACTTGGACCTGCCCTTTGCTGACACGGGAATGTCCAAACCTGTGGAGAATTTTTATAAAAATTAGCATCAGCCCAGCTGGCATGGCTCGGTGGCTCAGTGACCTATGAACCAGGAGGTTCAATCCCGGGCGGCACATGCTGGATTGTGGGCTCAGTCCCTGCGTGGGCGTGCAGGAGGCAGCCAGTCCACCATTCTCTCATCATTGATGTTTCTATTCTCCCTCTCCCTTCCTCTCTGAAATAAAAAATATATATTTAAAAGCATTATTTTGAGTCAAACAGAGGATATGCCCGGAAGGTTGTGGCAGACGGGGACGTGGGGGAGCCAGGCGGGCGGCCAGGGCGGTTAAGCTTATGCCCCATTCAAAGGCCGGTCCCCGACGCCCAGGGAGGACCTGGGCCTCCAGGGCCAGACCCTCCGCTCCCGGAAGGGGGACGTGTGGCTGTGGCTGCCTCACCCGCCAGGTGGGAGCGTGGTCCGGTCGCCCTGAGGCTACTTTCCAGGAACCCTGTTGGCATCCACACTTTGTTGAGCCCAATGCCCTCTGCCCCCTGCCCTCTGCCCTTTGCCCAGTCCGGCTCCCGCCGCCTTGCTGTTCAGCGGTGCGATTTCACTAAGTTCAGGCCCCCAGTATCCAAAAGGCCATTCGGAAAAGCACTGGGGAGCGTGAGTGCCAAGGGCATCTCATTCACACACCCCGGGGCTGCCTCCCTGCCCGGCCCTTCCCCCACCCCCTCAAGGCTGGAGAGCCACCCAGCTGCCTCCCGAGTGCTGGGGGGCGGCCTGGGCTCTGTAAAAGGGCACACGTTGGCCTCCGGCCCGGGATCCCGGGATGTGCTGTCCTCCGGGGCTGCTCAGAGCCGTGCCACGTGCAGCGGGAAGGCGCGCTGACCTCAGAGCCCGGACTGCCGACCTGGGGCCCTGGAGGCCGGGGGCCTATCCTGCGACTCAGAGCCCGGCTTCCGGGCGCTCAGGCCCGCTGTCTCCCCACGTGCCCCCAGAAACCGCTTCCTTCACAAAGACACGGGTTCGAGTGAGCTCGGCCCCTCCTCATTCTGCAGGGAAAGGAGGAGAAAGTAGGGGGAGGGGCACGGACCCTGAGAGAGGGGGCCCAGGGGGGCTCCCCTGAGCTGGGAGGCGCAGAACCAGGCTCACCCCCCATAGCCGTCAGGAAGGGCCAGCCCCGGGTGGGGGGGGCGCCTGGGGGTTCGGAGTCCGGCCTCCGGCCGCCCTGCTGCCCTGGTTACTCATTAGCTCTGGAGGGGCGGTGCCAGGAGCTTCCTCAGGCCCCGGAGTCCGCCGCCCTGCACTGCCCACCGGGAGCGGGCAGAGCGGGCCGCAGAGCCGGAGCCACAGCGTGAGTGACCCTGCGGCCTGGGGGGGGGGGGCTGGGGACCGGCCCTCGGCGCCATGGGCGTGAGAGCACAGACCTGCAGGGACATCCGAGGACCTGAGCCGAACCGGGAGGGAGCTCTGGGCAGGCAGAGACCTGCTCGGGGGAACCGAGGGGGTCCCGGGTGGAGGTGGGGAGAGGGAAGGGGAGGGGGTCCGGGATTGGGGTGGGGAGGGGAGGGGGTCCCGGGGCGGAGGTGGGGAGAGGGAGGGGGAGGGGGTCCGGGGCGGAGGTGGGGAGGACCGAGGGGGTCCAAGGCGGAGGTGGGAAAGGGGAGGGGAGGGGGTCCGGGGCGGAGGTGGGGAGGGGAGGGGGTCCCGGGGCGAAGGTGGGGAGGATGGAGCCATCTGCTCCCGTGGGGCCAGGGCTAGGACAGAGGCTGCCCCCGGACTCTCTGACACGAACGCTGCAAACGGCCGGAAAGCCAGAGCGGACGTTATTATGTTATCCCAGTGCCCGCTTCAGGCCTCTGCCCCTAAATACCGCCTGGATGCGGGCACGGCCCAGAGCGGCCTTGTCTGGCGGGTCCCCAGCTGCCAGTGGAGGTGAGTAGCCGCCACGGTGACACTATGGCCCGGGAGCCCACGGCGTGGCCGGCTCCTGGGCGGGTTGGGCCCAGCTCTGGGTGCAGGAGGCTGAGGATTGGCATGGGTCCTGGCGTGGGGCGGCCAGGTGGGAGCACGGAGCATGGCCTGGCGGGTGCAGATGGGTGGGAGGCCCCGTGGGCAATGCAGGTGGGTGGGAGGCCCGGCAGCGGGTGCAGGTGGGTGGATGGCTCAGTGGAAGGTGCAGGTGGGTAGATGGCTCGGTGGTGGGTGCAGGTGGGTGGATGGCTCGGTGGAGGGTGCAGGTGGGTGGGTGGCTCAGTGGAGGGTGCAGGTGGGTGGGTGGGAGGCTTGGTGGTGGGTGCAGGTGGGTGGGAGGCCAGGCTGAGGTCAGAGATGACAGCTGGGTTTGGGGGATTGAGAGCCGGATAATGGTGGGGTCACCGGTGGCTTTGGGGTGAAAACCAGGCCCCTGCCTGGCCAGTTGGGTCTCCTGAGGAGGAGCCAGGTCCGCTGACTCTGAGCAAACATTTCCTCACCGCGGCAGCCGCCCTCCCATCCAGTCTGCGGCTCCCCTGGGCAGGAGGGGCCGCCCGGAGGGCCCGCATTCTGTGTGTGTGGTTGCGGGGGAGCAGGTGCTAGAACAGCCGCTGGTGACGGGCACCCTGGGTGCCGTGGGGGCCCTGGGCCAGGGAAGGCGCCCGGGGAGGGTGGGGGACCTGTCCCAGCTCTGTGGTCCCGGCGGTGAGGGGCTGTGGCTGGGGGGCCTCTGCTGCCCCATCTCGGTATTCAGTGCCCTGAGGAGCTCACAGCGCGGGGGGGCGGGGGGCGGGTGGGCGCAGGGGGCGGGGGACACAGGGGAGGGCCGGCGGGAGGCCCTCCGCCGCCACACGGGAGGGGCCGGGTTCTCGCTAGCCTGTCTTTTTTAATTGGTTTCAGAGAGGAAGGGAGACAGAGGGAGAGAGAAACATCCATGATGAGAGAGAATCACGGATCAGCTGCCTCCTGCACGCCCCACCCCGGGGATCAAGCCTGCAGCCCAGGCGTGTGCCCTGACCGGGAACTGAACCCTGAACCCCTCAGTCCACAGACCGACACTATCCGCTGAGCCACACCAGCCAGGGCTGTCTGCCGCCCGCCCGCCCGCCCGCCCGCCCGCCCCGGCTGACCTCTCAGCGGGCATCTCAGCCGGACGCCCCGCCCCGCCCGCCCCGGCTGACCTCTCAGCGGGCATCTCAGCCGGACGCCCCGCCCGCGCAGACGGGAACCAGCAGAAGATGCGGCGCGCACCCCGCCTGCTGCTCCTGCTGCTGGGGCTGCTGGCCCTGACCCGCGGTGCCCGAGGCCAGGCCGACGGCCCCCCGGGGGGTCCCGGCGCCGAGGAGGAGGGCGCCCCCAGCCTCAGGATCGCCCCCAGCAACGCCGCCTTTGCCTTCAACTTCTACCACCTGGTGGCCGCCCTCAACCCGGGGAGCAACGTCTTCTTCTCCCCGCTGAGCATCTCGGCCGCCTACGCCATGCTGGCCCTGGGCGCCGGCGCCGACACCCGGGCCCAGATCCTGGAGGGCCTGGCCTTCAACCTCTCCGACACGTCCGCCCCGGACATCCACCGCGGCTTCCAGCACCTGCTGCTCACGCTCAACCGGCCCCGCGGCTCGCTGGAGACCCGCGTGGGCAGCGCCCTCTTCCTGAGCCAGGCCCTGACGCCCCGGCCAGGCTTCCTCAACCGCACGGCCGCCTTCTACGGGGCCCAGCCCTTCCCCGCCGACTTCCTGGACCCCGAGGCCGCCGCCCGGCTCATCAACAGCCGCGTCCGGGAGGAGACGCACGGCAAGATCGACAGCGTGGTCGGCAGCCTCGGCGCGGACACCGCGATGGTGCTGGTGAACTACATCTACTTCAAAGGTGAGCGTCCGCCCGCGGCTGCCTCCGTCGAGCCTGTATCTCCCCGTTAGGTCGTTAATGCGGTGAGTGCGGGGGGCGCTTCTCCTTGTTCCGCATCCCGCACGGAAAGGGGAAGGACCGGCTCCTGGGTGGAGGAGCTGGGGATTAAGAGATAAAAGAGGGCTCAGCGGTAGAGCGTCGGTCTGCGGACTGAAAGGTCCCAGGTTCAATTCCGGTTAAAGGCATGTACATTGGTTGCGGGCACATCCCCGGTAGGGAGTGTGCAAGAGGCAGCTGGTCAATGTTTCTCTCTCATCGACGTTTCTAGCTCTAGATCCCTCTCCCTTCCTCTCTGTAAAAAATCAATAAAAATATATTTAAAAATAAATAAATAAAAGAAAGAGACAAGAGGCAGAAATAGACCCAAGAGCTGGGAGCCGGGTGGGAGGCTGTCACTCTGATGGAGGGACCGTCACCATCCACCACAGACAGCACAGCGCGTTTATTGATTTCCAGAGGCGGGTAAGGTCAAAGGAGCTTGGGTGCCCAAGTCCTATCCACTCCCTCATGCCTGGGATTTAGCATATTAAGACCTGGGTAAGTCAAGGTCCTATTCGTTCCTCATTCCAAGCACGTGGATAAGGATGAGAAATTGGTACTGATAACGGTCTCCGACATTTTGGGAGGCTGTTTCCGGGGGACGGCCATGCCAGTCACCTCGGACTCAGCTGACGTTAATTTAAAGGTCATTCATGTGCATTCCCAAGGCACCCCCTACAGTTAAGTATGTTGTTAAAATACGTGTTTATGGATTTCAGAGAGGAAGGGAGAGGGAGAGAGAGAGAGAAGCATCCATGATGAGAGAGAAGCACTGATCAGCTGCCTCCCTCACGCCCCCTAGGGGATTGAGCCCGAAGCCCAGGCCTGTGCCCTGACTGGGAATCCAAACGGGATCTCCTGGTTCGGATGATACTTGAGGCATTTTTAATAAAAGAAAGTGGATGGGTTGGGTCCGGTAGGGCCAAGCACGCCTTAGCAGAAAACTTTCCGATGTTTAAGATTGTGTAGTATTGAGGTTCCCATCTCTTCATACCTTACTTTCTTATTCTCTGAATGACCGTGATTTATGAAGGCGTATGGCCAAGGGTCTAAGTTTAGGTTGCAGCTCTGCCCCTTCCCACGGTGTGAACAGGGCGGGCTGCTCTTGTGAAGGAAGGGTAGGTAGTAAGGGTCCCTCTTCAGTTCTGTTTTTGCGGATCACATGATGACACATGTTTGTAAACACCTTAGGAGGGGGTGTTTACAAACATGTAAACTACAGCCCACGGCCGGATCTGATGGGTTTCTGTCAGTAAAGTTTTACTGGCACACAGCCATACCCATTCATGCAGGCATTGCCCCTGGCTGCTCTCACACACACACACACACACACACACACACACACACACGCCATGGCTATAGAGACTGGACGACCTGCGAAGCCTAAGGTATTTACTTCCTGGCCCTTTGCAAAGGAAGTTTGCCTGCCCCCTGCTCACTACACATACTCAACAAATAATCACAGTAACTGTAATTACTCCAATGATATTGATGCTCTTTTAGAACCTTTACAAGTGCAGCCAGCCGGCCTGGCTCAGTGGTTGTGTGTCCACCTATGAGCCAGGAGGTCAGGGTTCGATTCCCCGTCTGGGCACAGGCCCAGGTTGCAGGCTTGATCCCCAGCAGGGGGTGTGCAGGAGCAGCCGGTCAGTGATTCTCTCTCCTCATGGATGTCTCTATCTCTCTCCCCCTCTCCCTTCCTCTCTGAAATACATAAAATATTTTTTTAAATGCTAAAAGAGAAAATAGAAATTGCCACCCTGAGGCGATGGATGTTAGCACTGTAGCATGACCGTTCCCCGTCTTTGGCTCACACACACGTATGAACACGGTTGGAATGCCCGTGCGGGGAGACAGTTGTGTGTCAGTCGGGTTCCTTCCGTGGGCTCAGCGGGAGGGTTGGGGGAAATGAGAGCTTGCAGGGTTGTGTGTGTGGGGAGGGGTGGGGGGAAGGAGGAGGAATGAGCAGCTGGAGGAAGAGGGAGGTGAGGGACAGAGAAGCCAGCGGTGCAGGTGACCAGTTAAAGCTCATCAGGAGCCCAGAGGCCAGGCACCAAGCGCCGAGCTCCGCGGCAGCTCGGGAAGTGGTCCTGGCTGCCGGGCCGGCCCAGTCTGACGTCACGTGACTGTCACACGAGAAGGTTCATGCACTGCCAAAAACTTTAAAAACCGCCCAAATCCTGCGAACGCTGGCAATTCATAGGAAATTGCAACAGTAGTACAGAGTGCTCCATGGACTTTTCCCCCAGATTCCCCTCGATAACATGTCACATTCATGTTCGTACATTAGTACAATCGACAGGCTTTATTCAGATTTTGCTGGTTTTGCATGCATGCGTGTGTGTGTTGTGTGTGTGTGTGTGTGTGTGTTTGCGCACATGTGCACATGTGCGGTTTTATGATATGAAAAACTTTATTTAGATCTTGTGTTAGTCGCTGCACACTATTATACTGACTCTTCCTTCTAAAGCATAATTTAAATGCAGAACATACACACCACCCAGGGGGCCCCACTGAGCCGGAAGGGGGGGTCCGAGGGGCCGAGGGGCCGCCCCGGCGGGAGGAGGGCCGGCCGGCCGCGGACACCATGCCCTCTCCTCCGCAGGCCGGTGGAAGAGCCCGTTCGGCCGCTCCAGGACCACCCCCCAGGACTTCCACGTGGACCAGCACACGGTGGTCAAGGTGCCCATGATGTTCCAGGAGCAGGACAGCCACTGGTATCTGCACGACCGGCACGTGCCCTGCTCGGTGCTCCGGCTGGACTACCAGGGCGGCGCCCGGGCCCTGCTGGTGCTGCCCGACACTGGGAAGATGGCGCAGGTGGAGGCGGTGCTGATGCCGGGCATGCTCCACAGGTGGAGCCGCTTGCTGCAGAAGAGGTACCGGCACCGGCACCGGTGAGGGGCAGCGCCCCTCGGGCCTGCGAGCGGAAGCCGTGTCCATGCCGGCCATGCCGGCTCGGGGCGCGGTTCCTTCGCGGGGAGACCACCCGGGGGGGGGGGGCTTTCAGCGGTGACCGCCCTGCCGCCTCCGCCTCCGCACCACTGTCCTCCCCGTGGCCGGCCGGGGCGCGGGGTGCAGTCCTCGCCAGCCCTCGGAGGGCCCGCCCTGCGCCAGGGGGACCTCCGTCAGGAGGGCTGACCGGCCCCTCGGGGTCAGGAAACCCAGCCGCCCACCCAGCAGCAGGGAGAGCGGGGGGGCTGAGTGTAAGGAAGGACCCCCAGGAGGCGCGTGTGATGGAGACCCCCCCCATTCCTGTGGCCGGGCACGCCGTCTGTGGCATCATCGGGTCCCGAAGAAGTGAGGCTGGGGGCCCGGCAGAGCCCAGGCGGGGCCTCCGGGGGGCCCCCTTCTCCCCGGGTGCCCGGCCCCCACAGAAAGCACCCTCTGTGGGAGAGGAGCCCCCGGGAGCGCTGGGTGCCGGGCGGTGGGCACGCGGTGCGGTGACCCCGGGAGCCGGCTGGGCGCTCACCGCTCCTTTTTCAGGGCCTACTTCCGCAAGCTCTGGCTGTACCTGCCCAAGTTCTCCGCCTCCGGCTCCTACAACTTAGACGAGCTGCTGCCACAGCTGGGCATCCAGGACCTGTTTACCCGGCGGGCCAACCTGTCGGGCATCGCGGCCCAGGACAACCTGCTGGTGTCCAAGGTGAGCGGCCAGCGGCTCAGCGCCCGGCTCGGCTGTGGGCCAGGGCGTCCCCGTGTGACCTCAGAGCCCTGTGACGATCACCCCGGCCGGGCGCCCAGGAGCCCCCGCTGAGGTGCTGGGAGAGGCGCCGTCCTCGGAGGGCGCTCCCGCCACCTTCTCGGTCGCAGCGGCAGGTGCGGCAATGCCAGGCGGGGCAGGGGAGCGAGGGGGGGCGGGGGGCAGAGCGCTCAGAGAGGAGGCTGCGGCTGCCGCATGGAGGACCTGAGGGCGCAGAGGGCAGGGCCAGTCCCAGTCCCCCTCTTAGGCCCTCACCGATCCCCTGGTCCCTGCGTGTCCTCACAGGCAGGCTTAGGAGATTAGAGAGCCGGTTTGCTCAGTGGATAGAGCGTCAGCCTCTGGACTGAAAGGTCCCGGGTTCGATTTCGGTCAAGGGCGCCTACCTGGTGAGGGCTCACGTGGGAGGCACCCAATCGATGTGTCTTTCTCACATTGATGTTTCTCTCTCTCTCTCTCTCTCTCTCTCTCTCTCTCTCTCTCTCTCTCTCTGTCTCCCCCCCTTGCTTCCACTCTCTCTGAGAATCATTGGAAAAATATCCTTGGGTGAAGATTAACAAACAAACAAACAAAAAGAAGAAAAAGATTAGCAAGTGCTGGGACAGGAAGTGCTCAGGGAAGGGCACTCGTTATGGTGTGGCCAAGAGCCAGCAGCCAACCACCTGCCCCTGGAGACTCTGCTGGGAGACCCCAGGGGCTTTGGGGCTCCGTCCGGCTGTCCGGGGGTCTCTGTCCCCTCAGCCCCTCGGCCGCTCAGGCCTCTCGCTGTGACTCCCCACAGAGTGTCCACAAGGCCGTGCTGGACGTGGACGAGGCCGGCACCGAGGCCGCGGCGGCCACCAGCCTGTCCGTCACCTTCTTCTCCGCCGTGCACAACCCTCGCATCCTCAAGTTCGACCGGCCCTTCCTGCTGGCCATCCTCTCCGCCGACACCCAGAGCATCCTCTTCCTGGGCAAGATCGTCAACCCCACGCAGCCCTAGCCCCGCCTGGCTGCTGTCCGCGGGGCTGGCCCCAGGGCTGGCGAGGGCAGCGAGGGGCTGGCCCGGGGGCAGCGGTGCCGGGTCCGGGCAGAAGCTGCTGGAGGCGAGGGAGGAGTGGGGGTACCAGGCGGTGTGGACTGGACACGCGGCCCCCCACGGCTGTGCAGTCTCAGCACCCCGCCGCCCCTTCAGTGAGTGTCTGCCGGGAGGCGGGAGACCACCCCCTGCCCCCCCACCCCACCCCTGCCTCGCCCCGCTCCGTCTGAGGGTGGCTGTGTGCATTAAACAGACTGATGGCAAGGAGCCTGGCCCAGCGCCTGTACACAGCAAACACTTAATAAATGCATGCCTTTCCGTCCCTCTGGGTCGGCCCTGCACACCCTGCGTACCTGGTGCCAGACTCGGGGCCGAGGGGGTTGGTGCGGTGTGTGTGTGGGGGGGGAAGGGGGTGCAGGCAGACAGCCACCCGGCAGGTGGTGCCTTGTTCCTGAAGGCGGTGAGGAGGGGGACCCCAAGGGCCCTGCAGGGAGAACACCTCCGCGGCCGCCCGTGCCCTGGAGGGCCGCCTCTCCCCGAGGCCAGGCCGTGGTGGTCCCGGGTGCTCGGCCGAGAGGGCTGCTCTCACAGCCCTGCTCTGCCTGACGGCTCTGGGCCTCGGGCCAGTCCCTCCCCTTGGAGGCCTCGGTTTCCCCAGCAGCGCCATCGGGGCTGGCCCAGGCGGTGCCGCGCGGACTGTCTCTGAGGATGTGGGGGACTCGTGGGGAGGGTCCCCCCGAATCTAGGAGGAGAAGCCTGGACCCTCCCCGGAGGAGCCGGGCCGGCAGCCCCCGGGTCCGTCCCAAACCGGGAAGTGCCCACGCCCGCTGCTCCGGCGGCCTCGGGGTCTCGGGGTCTCGGGGTCGGAGACGGAGGTCTCTGGCACACCCCGGGTTTTACGTGACTCGGGGGCCTGCGGCGACACCCCAGCACCGGCACTGTTGGGGTCACAGGTTCCAGCGACTGCGTGCGGGCTCTCTGACCCAGCCGTCCCCCGTGCGGGGAGGGGCTGGCCGGGGGACGGAGCCGCGCGGAGACAGGGCTGGGGAAGGGAGCCGCCGAGGACAGGGGCTGGCCTCCCCGCTCTGAGTCTGCATTCCTCGGGCCATTCATGCCTCCTCTTCCAGCAACGCCCCCTGCGCCACACACCTGCGGCCCCATCAGACGGAGCATTGCCCACTACCTGGGCTCTGTCACCCCTCTACCTGGGCCCTGCCACCCCACTCCCTGGGCCCAGTCCCCCCACTACCTGGGCCCTGTCACCCACTCCCTGGGCCCTGTCACCCACTACCGGGGCCCTGTCACCCCACTACCGGGCTGCACACCCCACTACCTGGGCCCTGTCACCCACTCCCTGGGCCCTGTCACCCCACTACCGGGCTGCACACCCCACTCCCTGGGCCCAGTCCCCCCACTACCTGGGCTCTGTCACCCCACTACCTGGGCCCTGTCACCCCTCTACCTGGGCCCTGTCACCCCTCTACCTGGGCCCAGTCCCCCCACTCCCTGGGCCCAGTCCCCCCATTACCTGGGCCCTGTCACCCACTCCCTGGGCCCTGTCACCCACTCCCTGGGCCCTGTCACCCCACTACCGGGCTGCACACCCCACTACCTGGGCCCTGTCACCCCTCTACCTGGGCCCAGTCCCCCCATTACCTGGGCCCTGTCACCCACTCCTTGGGCCCTGTCACCCACTACCGGGGCCCTGTCACCCCACTACTGGGCTGCACACCCCACTACCTGGGCCCTGTCACCCCACTCCCTGGGCCCTGTCACCCACTCCCTGGGCCCAGTCCCCCCATTACCTGGGCCCTGTCACCCACTCCCTGGGCCCTGTCACCCACTACCGGGGCCCTGTCACCCCACTACCGGGCTGCACACCCCACTACCTGGGCCCTGTCACCCCACTCCCTGGGCCCTGTCACCCACTCCCTGGGCCCAGTCCCCCCACTACCTGGGTCCTGTCACCCCACTTCCTGGCCCTCGGGCGGATCACAGGGTGTGACAGTGGCTGAGGCCCAGGCTCCTGGCGGAGTGAGTGGGGTGGGGGGCGGGGGGCGGGGGGTCTGTGAGTGAGGGGAGGGGAGGCTGTGAGCACGGCCCGAGCTGTGTGCTTTGCCCCCCACCCCCCAGCCCGGAACCGATGGTGACCACCGAGTTCCGCTCTCAGAGCCAGACGCCCTTTGGAGCCTCAGGAGAGCAAATACACGGAGGCTCAGGGCGGACACGCTGTTCCCAGGAGCGGACGGGCCCTCGCTCCACGCCCCTCCGTCCCCCCCTCGGTCACTCCCCGGTCACTCCCCGGGTCACACTCTCCCGTCACTCCCTGTCTCACTCCCCCGTCACTCCCCCGGTCACTCCCCCGTCACTCCCCCGTCACTCCCCGGTCACTCCCCCGTCACTCCCCGGTCACTCCCCCGTCACTCCCCGGTCACTCCCCCGTCACTCCCCTGCTCACTCTCCCGGTCACTCCCCCGGTCACTCCCCCGTCACTCCCCATCACTATCCCGGTCACTCCCCGGTCACTTCCCGGTCACTCCCCAGTCACTCCCCCGGTCACTCCCCCCGGTCACTCCCCGATCACTCCCCGGTCACTCCCCGGTCACTCCCCCGGTCACTCTGGGGGCCCGCGCTCCGTGCTCGAGGGCGTTGTCCGTGAGGCAGAGTCCTCTGCAGCGGAACAGCCGTCTGTCCTCGGAGGGAGGCCAGGGGGCGGGCGCTCTGTGAGCACGGGCTGGGGTGTGTGGGTGTTGGGGGGTGTAGCCTGGCCCCCCGCTGTGGCGGAGGGGGAGGCGATGGGGTGGGAGCGGGCACCATGTTTCCCCCGTCCCTCGCCCTCGTCCCACACGCGGTTACCGTCAGACTGCTGATGACCAGGAAGCGGGAGGGCCCCCGGAGGAGGGACGCTCTTGACAGGGGTTGAACGTCAACTCAGGAACCAAGAGGCTACAGGTTCGATTCCCGGTCAGGGCACATGCCCAGGTGGTGGGCTCCATCCCCAGCAGCCAATCAATGATCATCTCCTCATTGATGCTTCTCTCTCTCTCTCCCTCTCCCTTCCTCTCTGAAATCCACATATATTAAAATAAAATAAAATAAAATAAAATAAGGTTTGAGCCAGCAGCAGCATCTTGGAGGTGTTCTGAAAGTCGGGGCAGGCAGAGGCAGAGCAGTGGGGGCTCAGACCGCCCGCTCTGTGCGGGCCCGGCCCTCACACCGGCCGCCCGGACACGGCCACGGCCACTCGGTCCCTCGTCACAGCTCGGAGAGGTCCCTGGTGCTTCAGAGCCTCGTTCTGTCGCGGGTGCTGTCAGGGCTGATGAAGGGCTCCTCACCGCAGTCCCAGTGAGACTCTGAACCCCTCAGTTTCCGCCGGAATGTGGCCGTGGCCGTGGCCCGTGGCCCGTGGCCCGTGGCCCGTGGCGGCGTGAACCCCTGGCTGCAGCGTAGGGAACCAGAGCCGGCCGGCCTAAGCTGGCTCTGGGGGGTGAGTGTGAGCTGTTTATCCGACATCATCAGTAGATCCACAAACAGGCGCTGGCGGGGGAGGGGGGAGGGAGCCTCGAGCACTGGGGCGGGGAGGGGGGCTGGGGGGGTGGACGAGGTGGCGACGGGCGTGGCCACGTGCACAGCAGCATGGAGCTTGCTCCGCACACTCAGAACGGAACCTTCTGGCCCAGTGACCCGCCTGTGGGGCGGATGTGAGGAAGCCAGACAATCACTGGAAGGTCAGCGGCGGCTCCTCTGGGCACCGAGGCGGCATGGACAGAGCCCGCCCTGCGGCAGGCCCGGCTCCGCCCACGGCCACGTGGCGGAGAGCGGTGGGACAGGGACACCGTGGATGCCCCTCAAGAGTGAAATCTTCCCGTTTGTGACATCATAGATGGGCCTGGAGGGCATAAGCCGTCAGTCAGGGAAGGACAAACATCACATGATCGCCTTTCCACATGGAAAAGTGGAATCAAGGACAATCCAAACTGATACGGACTCATAGCCACAGAGGCCAGGGCAGTGGCTGCCAGCGGAGGGGCGAGGGGATGGGGTGGAGAGGGGCGAGGGGACGGGCGGAGAGGCAGAGGGACTGAGCCGTGAGGAGGGCGGCAGAGAGCGGCCTGGGCAGGTCACGCTGTCGGAATAACTGCACAGAGCAGTTGGGGACTGGGTGAATCGGGAAGCCCTGTGTGCGGTGTATGGTTGTCTAGCCACTGTGCGGCCAGCCGAGCCTAACACGAAATCTTATAAAAGGAGATCAGACTCAGTAAGGACTGAGCAGGAGAGCCTCAGGCCAGGCCTCAGCCAAACACCGCCCGCCCCGTTATTTCTGTCCCTGCCCCGAGTTGCGTTCCGAAGGGTGACGGGGAAGCCTGGGCGTTGGAACTAAAAATCCTGCAGTGAGCACCTCTAGGCTTCCACATTTCGGGGGGTGGGGGCCTCTCTGACCCTCTGTGTCCTCTTCAGTGCCGCTGATCACGGTTATATGGGTGACATTTTGGACTGAGGAGGCTCCCTGGAGGACTGTACAGGAGCTAATGCATGCAGCATCCAAAATGTCACGCCTTGCTTCACTGTGTGCACTTCCCGTGTGTATTGGACGCCCATGTGCAAACATCAAAGCACAATTCCCTCCTGTTCGTCTGCTTTTGTTGACGGATTACGAGTCCAGAGGGAAGGACGGAGACGGTGGGCGGGGTGAGGTGGGGTATGTGTCTGTAGCCCCCATCACAGCAAAGTGGCCCCGGAGCCAGGAACCAGCGGGGGGGCGGCTGCCCGGAGTGCCTGCCGGGTGCCGGCCCAGCCTCTTCTCCCAGAGCTGATGCCACCCCCTGCAATGCCCCCGCCAGGTGAGACCAAGGTGACAGGAAGCCCGTAGCCAGGCCAGGCTCTGTGGGGCCCTCACCTGTCCCTGGCAGTGAGGACGACAGGTCCCCTCACAGGCTGGGGCTCTGGGCGTCTCCCTGGGGGCT